AAAATTGTTTTTTCTCTCTCCTCTCTCATTCTCTTTTTATTTATTTATTATTATTAATAAATTGATCAATCACTTTTTCTCTCTCCTCTTTCATTCTTTTACATTCTATATATCAATAAAAAAAAAAAAAAAATTTACAAATCATCCCAAAACTATTTTTAAAACTCATAACCAAACATATTTTTAACTTTCAAAACTCATTTCAACGACTTATTTTTCAAAATACAACTCAAAATTCAAAACTCATTTCAAAAACTAAACCAAACGGACTCCTTCTTAGTCACTTCACCTTTTACTATTTTCACTTTTCATGATTTATTCATTTTGGAAAATTTATTTAGAATTCCCATCCTAGAAAAGTGTATACCGGACTATCCTATAAATTTTCTTGCAAATTATTAAGTCTCATTGAATTTGGAAATGTATATCATGAGGTCCTTTTATTTTATTTCTTAGAGACGACAAATGTGGATATATATTTTATTTGTGCACTATTGTTTTTGAACTTTTGCTAAATGCGTCATTTTTAAAATGTGACAATGTGATCTATTGTTTTATTAAACTTTTGTTAAATGTGACATGAGATATTTGTGCATTATTGTCTTATTAAACTTTTGTTAAATGTATAATTCTTAAAATGTGACAATATAAAACATCAGTCTAATGTGTATACGAATGTCTTATTATTTGTTGAATGTGTCATTCTTCTTAAAGTGTGACAATGTGACATTTGTGCACTATTGTCTTATTAAACTTTTGTTAAATGTGTCGTTCTTAAAGTGTGACAATAAGATATGATTCTAATGTGTTTGTTATTGGCTCATTACCTTTTCAAACGTGAGTATGCTTAATTTCGAGATTTTGATGTGAGAAATGACTTATGTGGGTTCATAAGATTATTTATGAGACTACGATTCATGTGGAGGGGGCGCGTTGAGTGAGTCTCGGGATTAGTTGAGATGCGCATAAGCTAATTCGGACACTTGTCATAAAAAATAAAACATATATTTATGAAACTAAATGGTCTATAAGCTATGGACATAAGATTTATTAATAAATGCCCCTTTATTTTTTTTCAAATCAGACGGACCTTTAAAGTTATATTAGAAAATATTTTTAAGATGACTTTGCATCTCTAATTCACTTTTTGTAATTTTTACTTCTTTAGTAGAAATTTCACTTTTTTAATAATTTCACCTAAATATTATGGTTGAATTTCACTATTTGAAGAGAATGAAATTTCACTAGTTGAAATGATGGTATGTTTTATGATAACGATGACAATGATAATGAAGGTGGTGGTAATAGCAATTGTGGCTTCATAGCGGTGGTGGTTGTGGTGACAGTGACAGTGATAGTAATGATGGTTGTAGCTATATTAGTGATGATTGTAGTGATTGTGAGGTTATAATTGACGAAGACTTAACACAGCAGTCCAAGCAGTTCAAGGCTGCAGCTACTGAGTCCAAGGCTGCATACAACAAATCAAATAGACTGCAACAGAGCACACAGTGCAAAAGAAGTGCAAGAGCAGCAGTCCACGAAAGCTGACCAAGTGCAGACTTACATGAAGGTGTATCACAAGCCATGGGCTGTGTAACATCTAAGCAGTTCACTTGTATTATATGCAGTTAGTTTGTTTGAAAGATTAGTTAGTTACAGATCTGTGAATTTATATAATGTAATAGTTAGATCAATAAATGAATAAGATTCAGTCTTTCTTCATGGTGTATGTTGATACTTGTGTATAAATATTTATAAATTCAATTAGCATTAAATAATTATGTAATTTTATGTGAGAAATTCGTCGTAATTTAAATGACTTTTATCCTACAAACTCAATTATTGCTTTTATTATTTCATGAAGCAGCATCCAAGCTCTCCTGAGTGCTCCGAATCCAGACGATCCTCTTTCTGAGAATATTGCAAAACATTGGAAGTCCAATGAAGCTGGAGCTGTTGAAACAGGTAATAATGCCCTCCATTCTTGTACTTGAGTTGTTGATTTTAATAGAGATGTTGGTCATCTTTTTAATATAGTGGCATCAAATGGAGTAAAGCTTTCTTTTCCTCTCATAAAAAGGTTGGTAGAAATTTACCAATCTCACATGTATAATTCTGATTTTGTGATGTTCCTCTTTACAAGATATGGCAGGTATATTATTTTATTATTATTATTATTTTTTTTTTTTTAATTGGACTTGTGCAGCAATGGACCCGTTTATATGCAACTGGTGCATGACGATGGGAGTTTATTATTTGCAAATATCATTTCTTTAACAATTGTGATAAAGACTCCTATACATATATAACTCTTAGGTTTCGTTTGTTTTCAGAGATAGAATGGAAGGGATTTATAGTGAAGGGATTGTTAGTGAAGGGATTAATAGTGAAGAATTGTTAAATTATTTATATATAAAATAATAAAACAAATAAAAAATATAAAAAATTAAACATTAATATTTAAAAAAAAATTCTCAATATATAAAAAGTAAAAAAAACAAAAAAATTTCTAATCCCTTCACTATTTTTTTAAGGGTAATGCTAGGGACACCAAATTTTCTACCAAACAAATGACCAAATGTCTCACATGGGTGTGGGGTCCGCAATTTTGTGAGCCCCACACCCATGTGAGACATTTGGTCATTTATTTGGTAGAAAATTTGGGACCTCTAATATTTTCCTTTTTTTAATACCATCTCTATCTCCTCCTCACCAATCCCCCTTCCAAGGGGACTACTAATACCAAGAGATGAATAATCCCCTACCCATCTCTCAAATCCAAACAAACGGAACCTTACAACTCACTCTCATCCCAATTATTTATAATATGAAATTCATATATACATAAATAAATCTCACACAAAAATCAAGGATCAAAATTAAATTGAGAGCCTTGAAATTTTAAAAAACGAATCCTTAACATTTTTCTTTTCCCGATGTATGTTAAATGGCCTACGGTCATTTATTCATTCGAGGAGAATGAAAATTGTCTGTCACAATCAAGATGTAATTGTCACAAATCCCCAAGTACTTGTGTTGAATATCATATACTTCCTTGGTGCATGCTTTTTAATCTTCTTTTAGAGGAGATCGGAATCAGAAGATAGTGGAAATTAGGATGGTGGAAATTACTGCGTAATTTATTAAAATCTTATTGATTTGTATCATTTTGTATGATTCTTTTTTGTTAATTGTGATTTAAATTTTAAAATTTAAAATTTATCTTTAAAATCGTTTCACTTCAATTACTACATATATATTTTTTAATCTATAATAAAATATTAAAATAAAAATGATTAAGATAAGTTTGGCTAACAAAAAAAAGTGCACTTATTTCATCTTTTTATCTTTTTTGGGTCACATCAATCAACATCTTCTCTCTACTTTTTCTACACATAATACAAAAAAAGTCAAAAAGTACACTTATTTAGTCTTCCCAAACTTGGCCTTAATATGTAAAATTTATTACAAATTAGTAGTTATATATATAAAAAATATTATGTAAATTAATATTATATATTATTCAAAAACTTGATAATTTTTTAGAATATTCTTCAATCTCTTAATCCACTCAAAATTGTTCAAATTATAATTTGTCAATTCACTAATCTGTCATTCAATTTATAATTTCTCTCAAACCATTCGAATCGCACAATCCACACCCGTATTGGGAACAAATTCCACCTATTTAGGAAATTAAACCCTTGATTATTAAAAATATCCTTTTTTATTTAAAAAAAAATTCTTGCTTTGGCAATTACATTTTTAATGTAATTTTGAAGACAGATTAACAAAAGTGTCCTAATTATTTAAATAACTTTAAAAATAGAATGTTTTTTTTTAAAAAAAAAATTTATTTTGGACTATAAAATAAATAAATAAAAGGGTCAAAGACTATCTATCTTTTCATCTCTCTTGTTCACTATCCTCAAAACAGGAAAGATGAACCCAAACAACATTCTTTAGTATAAAAATAAATAAATTTTTTTAAAAAAAAGGCTAACCACAAAATAAAAAATAAAAAATCACAACTATTTCACACACGAATACTGATGCTTAAATAAATAAAAACTACAACTAAAGTCCCAAAAAAGTTTATTTAACATTCAAATGAAAATTAGGACCAATTATTATTTATCAAACTTTAAAAGTCTAAACCAATTATGCTGTGCTCTCGTATCAAAACCCCTTTTGAATTTCAATACAGATAGGCCATGTTTGTTTGGGCGGACTGGATTAGCATTCACATGACTAATAGTCCTAGGACTACGAATCCGTTAGATTATGTATCCTATCTTAACTAATAGTCAAGTTTAAAATAATTAGTCCGTACTTCAATTGTTTAACCAAACATCGGATTAATAATTTTATTGGACTATTAGTCCAATCCCAAGCTCATGTCCAGCCAAACAAACATGGCCATAATGTATATCAAGCCAAACAAGCAGGCATAAGTCCTCCTTGCACTGATCCATTCTATTGGACCAGCTCAGCACAATTTATTGGAGATGCTTAATTTTATTATTTTTATTATTATTATTATTATTATTATTATTATTATGTAGTTTAGAAAGAGAAATGTTTTGTATCAACTTTTTTTATTACTATTTTGTATCAACGTTTACATAATTGATTAAAGAAAAATGCTTGAGAGCACTAAAAATAGAACACTAAAAGGAACACTAATGATGTGACAGTGGGTCCCGTCCACTTTCTATGCCTTGTTTTTTTATTTTTTTATTTTTTTTATCATTTCCAATGCATTAGTGCTATTAGTGATGTATTTTTTAGTGGTCTAAATCATTGTTGCTGATTAAAAGAGTAAAACAATAGTGACGTATAACTGTCTTTATTTAAAAAAAATTTGTGCAAGAAAATAATTTAAATAAATTAAAAAAAAGTAATCATTTAAAATTTAAAAAAGCGAGGGTTATTAACTTGTACTCTACTATTATTTATTTATTTATTTAAAAAAAAAAAACAGTATGAAACGAGCCAATCCTGGGGGACTGTTGTAAAAACACCAGCACAGACAAAGGATATTCTGCTCTGAAATCTCGCTCACCTGACGCACTCTCAATAATAGTCTGTCTAACAACAACCATTGCAGTTTCCATCTATACGATTCGTCCAGTTGATTACCCCTCTCTCTCTCTCTCTCTAATAAGGTGCAATGGGGAGAAAAGTCGAAGAGTACTCACTACAGTCACCGCCGGTAGCACCAAAATCATCGTCGTTGAAGTTAGTTATCCTCGTCCTCTCAGTCTCAGTGATCAAATTTGAGCCTCCCAAGTAGCCGCAACCGTGAGCTGCGGCTGCTGTGGCGGTGGCTGTGGCTGTGGCTGTGGCAGCGCTGTCACAACCGGCGGCTCCCAGTGTCAAAAACTTGCGCCGCTTCCTGGACCTCGTCTTCTGTTTAAGCTTCGGTTTCGATGACTCAGCTTCAGCGTCGGTGTTGTGTACGACCAGGTCGTAGTTCACCGAATTTAGGGTTTGGATGGAAGTGACGCAGCATTCTTGCCATTTGAGGTCCGCCAGGTCTTTGATCACCTCCTCCAGAGTCATATGCGCGCATGAAGACACATTTTCTTCGTTTAGTGTTGAGCGACTCGGATCCATCAGCTCCATTGAGTTCACTGCATCGATCAGAACTTTCTGCGATTTCCATAACACAACAAAATTGCCAAAATTCAAAGATGGATATTGGACTCACAAACGAAGATAAATGTTCCAATTAATTCCTTGTTTCTCTCACCTTTGCAGTGTTGTGGATTTTCTTGAATCCGTGCATGTCGATGATCTGTGAACACAACACACAGCATCATTTATCAAAATCAAAATCAAAATCAATAATAAAAGAAACCCCAAGTATTGAGCAGAAATGCAATTACAACTAGTTGTACAATGACTGAATCGCTTCCTGAGAATGAAATTGAAACTCCGCGATTGATGAGAAGTCGAAGCTAAAACTAAAATTAGTCCAAATTTAGAAATTTGTGAACAATTTCCCCAAACCAAACCTTGAATTCATGGTGATATATACATGTTTGTGTGTGTGTGTATATATATATGTATAGAGAGAGAGAGAGAGAGAGAGAGAGAGAGAGAGAGAGAGAAGAGAGACCTGATGAGTAGGTTAACGGTGAGATGGAGTTGCTTGTGAGTAGCGATGACAGAAAGATAGTGATCGAGGGAGAGCTTCTCGTTCCTCGGCATTCTGGCATTTGGTTTCGCAGTTTGGAATTCCATGGCACTGCTTCTCTGGGGTTTTCGCGGTGCCGCCAAAGAGCTTCTCACTGAATTTGTTCCCTTTGAATGTGCAGATATTATTGAAAAAAAAAGAAAAAAAGAAAAAAAAGTGCAGATATTATAATTGGAGAAATTCTAATATGCATACTCGCATGTATCATGTGTATCCTGCTTGGAACGCCATTAACGTTTATTTTTTTTTACTTTCATCAGAGTTAAATTTTATTAAAAAAAACAAAAAAAGTTGTTTTAGTATTTCAATTATAATATCAAATTGAGAATGTCTTAAATTTTTCATAAAATTAAAAATGTCTGAAACATTTCATCAGGCCGTTAGCTTTGCAAGTAGCAGTAGAAATTACAAGAACATCGGATGACGACTAGTAGCGCCTGACTTTCGAAGGCCTAAGAAGACAAAACAAGATTGGACTAATAACCTTGGGGCTTATGCTGAATCACTTTTCCATTAGTTATCAAAAGCCCATTCACAACATGTGCATAAATCAAATGAAAACAAACACACACACTTCTTACATTATTGTGTGGGTAATTTTCTGACCACACTGCCCGTCTAGTAATCAGCTGGAGAGCACCGGCAGAATAGATGGCTTCAGCAAACCTGTAACAGAAAGAAAAGGCTCCGGCGGTGGCTCTTCCACCCTGGGGCACTCCGACGATCAAGTCAGTATATCTCTCAAAGATAATCAAGTGCTAAACTCACAAGTTTAAGTATAAAACTACATACCTTAGACCCACGAGGGTGCCTCTCTTTTATAGTTTACTCAATCAAAGTCCCACTAGAAGCCTGACTTCTATGGATTCCAATTCAATACTGACTTTGGACTCTTCAAGAGACAAAGATAAACTCCCTAAGGCCATGTTTGTTTGGGCGGACTGGATTAGCATTCCCATGACTAACAGTCCTAGGACTACGAATCCGTTGGATAATGTATCCTATCTTAATTAATAGTCAAGTTTAAAATAATTAATCCGTACTTCAATTGTTTAATCAAACATCGGATTAATAATTTTATTAGACTATTAGTCCAATCCCAAGCTTAAGTCCACCCAAACAAACATGACCTAAGAGTTTTATCCTTATCTTGGCTAAGTCTTCTCTTTTCTCTAGGACTCTTGCCCCTTATCCATTTATCCGCTTATCTCGGACTCCGATATCTTCGGAGATCACCTCGGCCTTGCCAAAGATAACCTTGGCATATTTACCACGACACGTGGCACCTCGGCTGACACGTCGGCGTCACCATGCCACATGTTGGTATTCAGAAAATACATCCCCACAACTGCCCCCTAGGTTCTATTACCTCGACATTCTGAGGTGATGGAACCTATATCTGTATTTTCTTCCAGTACCTCGGCGTAAGAACTTTTCGGCCAAGATCATTCATTCTAGGCCGACATACCTTCATCAGAGAACAAGAACTCAAACCAACTCCCCTACGCGCATGAGCTGTCATGCATCTCTTCTCAACCGTTCCCCTTATGTGTTCTATCTTCATTGGCCCGTGTCTGTGACGCGCTTGTAAGCCGTCTTTCATCCGTCTGCGCCGTCTGACGCACGCGTTCCTCCAGGCGCAATAAATGCCGTGTTTTGCCGCCGCTTCAAGTTTTTTTGATAAAACTTTTCTTTCCCTCCTTACGTCTTTACTTTTGCACTCGATTTTCTTTCTCTTTCTCTTAAACTTTCTCAAATCCGCCATTACTCTAGCTTCAAGCTCTGCAATCGTCTTCATTCTTCCATTTCAGTGAGGGTTTCGCCGTTCCGTCGTGTCTGTAACCGTTGCCTTATCTCGGCGACTTTCATTCCGGCTTTATTTGTTCTGGTAAACCTCTGTTCCTCTCACTCCCAATTTCTTCTATGTGCTTTCGTTTACTTACTATCATTATTGCTCTGTTCAAACCTTTGATTTGCTGAACTATTCATCTGGATGCGTCTATTCCATGATTTCACTCATATTTTGAACACTTGCACTGTTTCAACACTTTTCTTGCCACTGTTCTTGACCTTTTACTTCTGTATTTCTTTCGCTTCTGAGAACCATACCTCTGTTCTTTGATTCTGAAACGTCGTTCTTTGTTTCTTGTTTTCCAGATTTCTGCCTTTAATTTTTGCTTTCAGTATTTGCCTTCATAGATTTAGGTTTGGGTTTTGTCTATAGAACCTTCAATTTTTAGGAAAAACTGAAACAATCCTTACCAGTATATACCTAGGGTTTCGCCGAGGTCCCGATAAACCCTTAAGAGCACATTCTTTCTGAAACCTAGCCTTCTGTCTTTAGGCCGACGTTATGGGTATGTGGAGACATAGGGTTGATACCCCGACCAAACTTGAGTACTTCAAGCAGGAGTTCTCCATCCCTGTCGATGTCCACCTGAGACTGGCTGGGGATGATGACTCCATCATGCCTACCGAAAACACCATGCCTCTCCCTATTGTAGCCTTTACTGAGTGTGGACTTCGGCTTCCACTTAACATTCTTTTTCGCGAGATTCTGCATTATTATAAGTTGAACCCTATGCAACTTGCCATAAACTCTTATTGAGTGATTTTTGGTATCGTCGCCTTAGCCAGACAAGAAAATGTTAGAATCACCCTAGCTGACATACAGTATTGTTACACCATGTGCCCCCTTAGCCTGAAGGAAAAAGGTTACGTCTACTACCTTAAGCCGAGGTCCACTGAATTCAAAATCGTAGCCGACCTCCCAGACTCCAACAAGGGGGCTGGAGATGACTACTTCATTGTCTCTGGAAATTGGGAATTTGCCCCAGACGAAGATGTCCATCTATACCCTCTTCCTCGAACGGTTAAAGAGGGCAAGGGTAAGAGCCCAGTGTTATTTGCTTAGTTGTTTCTTTTCAAGTCTTCAATATTTTATCTCTTTCTAATGTCTGTTTCTTCTTGCAGACGTTCGCAAGCCAGCGAAAGACTTTCGCCAATCTTACGTTCCTAGCAAGGACCTGAAAAAGCTCCTGGACTTGCCTGTCCACAAAAGGAAAGCACCTCTTCTTCTAAACTTTATTCCTACGTACAAATCCACTCTGCCCGACGTCCCGAAGAAGAAGAAGAAGAGTCTTTCTCCACCTTCTGCCACAACTCTTCCCATTGCTTCCACATCACGAGCAAACCAAGGATCCACTTTTGACCCAGCTGATCTGCCATCTACTTCAGCCCCATACTTAATCCCAATACTGGAAAGAAAACGTCGGCGACGACTTGTCAAGACTGCTGAGATGGGTCGCCCGATGCCTGTTGCTGTTGATCTCTTAGCCGACCTACCTGCCGACGTTGATGCTGTTCCAGCTCAGTCCATGCCCCCACCAAAGCCAAAAAGAGTCAAAAAGGCTCAGTCCAAGGCTAAAGCCACTGTAGTTGAGACTGAAGATACTCTGCCAATTTCACAATTGGCTGGAAGTAAGAAGACTTCTTCTGCTCCTGCAAAAAGGTCTGCTGAAACCCAATCCTTTGAGTCCACACAGTCAAAGAAGCCGAGGTCATCGTCTGCGACGACCTCGGGTTCCAGAATACCAAAAGTCCCATGGACACCTGAGATTACTCTAGAAGATAAGCCTGTCCTTGCCAGCGACAGCGCCGATGATATAAACGTCGGCGTGGCACTCAATACTGCTCTACTCCTCCCAGGCGATCTTGAGCGGAATGCCAAGATGAGTGAGTATGAGAACTACGCCTTAATGCTCCAGCACTCCGTTCAAGTAAGTGTTCCTGCTTTTTGACTTTCTTTCTGTTTCATACTTAAAATATTTTCTAACACTTCTGTTTTCTCTCAGGCCATCCAGCATGCTCACTCGTTTTCAGTGCAATCTTTTAAGAACCGGGAAAGGATGACCGAGATGAAGAAGGAGTTTTCTGCCCTGCAGAAGACCAACAAAGGTCTTCAACTAAAAATGAAGAAGCTGGAAGACCAGGCCGAGGCTGCAACTAAGGCCCAACAGATAGCCGAGGAAAAAGCTGAATCAGCCGAGGCCATAAGGAAGGTCGCCGAAACTGAGAAGATAGAGGCCGAGGACAGAAAGGCCCAAGCCGAAAAGGAACTGCAGGAGGCCCTGGCCACCAAGGATGTTGAAATTAAGGAGGCCGACGAAAAGGCATACGCCCAGGGTATGGCTGACATCACTGAAGAATACAAACTTCAGGTCAGGCAGGCATGAACAAGGGCTTCTCCCTTGGTTGGATGTCCTTGATAAAGAAACTTGATCTTCCTGCCGATTCACCCTTCCGCAATGTCGATGCTATCCCTCTTCCCTTCCCATCATCTCTACCTCCAAGTCAACCCGAGGATGCTTCTGAATCTGAGGATGAAGATGGAGGTGAGGATGAGGATGAGGCTGAAGTTTTGGTAAGGAAATCCAGGAAGGATGTTGGGGCTAAGTCTCCTTCTCTGAATGAGCAGGTCTTGGACCTGACTCAAGATGAAGATGGTGATGCAGTTGCCAAGGAAGCTACCCCGGAGCAGGGTTCGTCCGATGTTCCTCAGGTCAACAAGAGTATTGACGAAACCCTTGCCGAGATTGATGCCGAAATTACTGCAGATAAGGAAGTCGAGGTATCTCTTCAGGAGACTTTTGAGGTTCAGATCCAGCCAGATGTTGATGTTGAAAAGTCTTAACTTTCATGTCTTTTCTTTTGCACCCTTGTACTTTGTTTTGTTTTCTAGACAATGTAAGCTTCCTCAAATGGCCGATGTACCTTTCTTTGTTACTTCGAAACAATTTACTTCTGGTAGGCCGTAGTGCCTTCTTTTGTATACAACTGCAACTGTTTTTCTATAGATGCTTCAATCTTTTAATTTCTCTTGATTTGCTTCTGCATGGTTCTATACTTAGAATATTTTGTATGCCTTTCATATCTTGCCACCTTTGTGCAATCTTCTCGGGGTCACATATCTCAGGTTTAATAACTACAAGCTTTACTTCGGCAAGATACTGACCTGCAAACTTTTCATAAGTTCCAACATGTGTAAAACATATACTATTCAATGTCTATTTTGCGAATGTTTCTCAATGTTTCAATCAAGTGCT